AAGTACAACTCTGTATCGCAACAGCGACGCTTCTGATTTGGGCGATTTCTTGTCGGCAACCACTGATAAGTATTTTGTGTCATTGTGTTTCAAAGACAGCATTGCCGTGATTCAGAAACATACCTTTATCAACAATACTGTTAAGATGATTATCTGGACCTATTTTAAAGTTGACATGTCGCCTTGGAAACGGTCACTATAGATGTCTGTTGTTGAGATTAAAGCCGTAATCTATCGCACTGAGAATGGTCTTTTAGGATGGTGAGCTCGTCTGGGAAGTATGTCCAGACTTGGCCGCAGGTGTTGAGCCAATTGAACTAGCTCAAACCTGTATGGTTCCTCTACCGTACCTAGCTTGGCAACATTATGTACATGCGAGCTCATCACGCATAAAAATTAATCGACCTCGAGTCAGGTCCTTATATATACACATATGACCACCAAAACACCACTTACTTCCCTTAACTAGCCGGAGTCTGTTTGAAACGGAAAATAAGCATTCACTAGCTATGTCAGGTCTCGTGTCAATGAAACTGGATACTGAGAAGCAATCAAAGAAAAAGAATTGAAGAAATTGATTGCGATCGCGTCTGTGCCGGGAAAAGCACCGTATGGACTAAATTATTTTGACCATCGTTGTCACTAGAGCTAGTCGTTGGGACACCTCAACCCGAAATGAGAGATTGGCTTCAGAGACCAGGCATATTATATGTATAATACAATAAGAGGGGCGGTCAGCAGGACCATGTGGGGGTAGAGATTCGTCGCAGCGCCGGTATAGGTGTTACTGGCGGTTGGCGAGAGCGGAAGCTTCGGTGACGTTGGTAGTGCGCGGTGCGAAGAGCCCGACGCTGTTCGCTGTGCATCAGATTGAATACTTGCTATTGGTCCCTTGGGATAACCCTTGGCAATCCACGCACTGGTTGTTGCGTTGTTTGACGACTTGAAAGGACGACTGACGGAGCTGGTCCCAGTGACAGCGAGGGATTGGGTCGCCGTGGTTGTGTTCGCAGATTTTTCGCAGTAGAAAATAAACTGCTGGAACTCCGGCAGCGCTCCATCCCAAGTCCGCAACGCGGGGGCCGAGCTCACGCAGGCTTGACAGGAACGGACCAAAGTCAAAAATGCCGAATTCGGGTCACAGAGCTCGGCGGTTTTGCCACTCGACTCGGCTTCGAGCATTGCATCGTTGCATGTAGCATAGCATTTCCCAGGCACTTTGATAGCCCAGCCGCGCTTCCGCTCCCAGGCCGCTTCGTTTAAATCGAATATGTCATAGGTCAGGCCGAACTCGGCAGGATTCAAGTTGAAGTAGCCCTGATTGACGTTGTAGTGCCCGAGTTGGTCGTATGAAGCTGAGGAGCCAGGGAATGCAAGAAGATTGACCTTGGGGCTTCGTATACACTCTTCGGGGCGACAAAAGTATGAGTCTGCGGGGGGGCCAGCCTCGAAATTACATTCCCCATCATCAGTTTGTTTCGATGGGTTGCAGAGAAGACGTGGTGGACAACCCCAGGTGTAGTCTGTGGGGAGAGATGAGAAAGGCGTGAAGGTGGGGTTGATGGTTCTGCTTGGGCAAATAGACAACGAGAACCCTTTTTTCTGTTAGCCTAGTTTCTCTTCACTGGGACTTGGCCTTACACACCTGATGTGGAAGTGGGCAGGACATAGTCTCCAACGGCGACCGCGTCTGCAACCCCGGCGGAAGAATCCCCCGATGAAGAAGTCTCACGGGGTGATGTCACTGGTGGTTCGGTCGATGCCATGGTCGTTGACATTTGGATCTTCTGAGTTGGCCGACCCAGCACTTGGCTGGCTTCCGTCATTGTTTCCTGAGATAGATCTATTGCTTCCACGGCCGCTGATTCACCTAGTCGCTCCATACTCGACCAGATGCTCTGGTCAGCGCTGCCGGGCCCTTGAGTCTCGAATTCGGTACTGCTTTTCCAATCACCGATCACAACAGCTGTATAGCCTGTTTCAGCCCCAAAATCTCCAACCGATACAACCTCGGTGTTGGTGCTTTGTCCTGTCGGGCTGTCTGTTCGGGATAACGCCCTATCACTTGTCTCATGAAGTGAACGGAAGGTGGGTTGGACATCAGTGCTGAAGTGATTGATGGTCACTATGGAATACCCTTCATGAGGAGTAGTGTCTTCACTCGGGATGACAAGAGTATTGCTTCTCACGCCTGTTCGCTCCGCTCCAGGGAGGGTGTGAATTGATAAGGGGTGGTCCTGAGTGCCCAAAAATTCCGTCTCTGGACTAGAGAATCCTAGCGGGGTAACAACAACCGTCATGGCACTGGCAGCTGTAGTGGTTCTCCATTCCGTCACAGTTCCCGGCTTATCGGCGGTAACCGCGATGGGTATGACTGGAATGAGTGTGCTCGAATTCAAAGCGAATTCAGTGCTCACTGATTCGACTGTGAGGATGCTAGTGATGGTCTTGATCTTCCAATCTGTCACAGTTTTCGGTCTGACGGCGGTGACAACGGTGGGTATGAACGAGGTGACTGTTTCGAGATTCGTGGCGAGTATAGTGCTTATGGATAGAACTGTGGTGATATTCGCAGCTGTCCGTCCTTTCACGGTTGTTGGTTGATCAACAGTAATCACAGTGGGTATCAGGGAAGCCAGTGTGACTGAATTCGGAGTGTCTTCAGTACTTGTTGACTTAATTATGCTTGTCGGTTCAATCGTGCTTGTCGGTTCAATCGTGCTTGTCGGTTCAATCGTGCTTGTCGGTTCAATCGTGCTTGTCGGTTCAATCGTGCTTGTCGGTTCAATCGTGCTTGTCGGTTCAATCGTGCTTGTCGGTTCAATCGTGCTTGTCGGTTCAATCGTGCTTGTTGGCTCGATTGTGTTTGTTGATTCAAAAGTGCTTGTCATTGGTGCCATAAGAGATACCGAGGTTGCCAATGATGAGACCAATGTGATACTCGTATCGCTATGAGCAAATGTCGCGGAGGATGTCTCAGTGCAGGTACAGTCAGTCGTATCCGTCAACGTCGATGTAAGCGTAACAGTAATCAGGTCCCTCGCAAGACGTAGTAAAGATCGTTTCGTGATCACCTTCACTCTTTCTTCCTGGCACCGTGGAAGTTGCTGGTACGGCGCGGGTGTAGTCAGCTCTGAGGCAACCAGGACTCCCGGATATTGCAGCAACCCGAGTACGACAAGAAGGAGTCTGCAATGCATTTTGATGGCACATGCAAACAAAAATAAACACAAGTTCTTTAGCTGACCCAGGTTTGCATATATATGTGTTTATTCCACTCTTTGACTTCAGGGACGTGATGTGAAGTTAGCCCTCGTGATGATTGCTGAGGGTCTGTATCGTGCAAGGGTAGCGTCAATTTCGTGCGATAAAAAGGAGAGAGAGAGATGTTCTCGCTTTACAAGACAGATTCATGGCCGCTCGTACGGGATCCCTCCGCGGGCATGAACCATCACCAGGGGAGCGTGCCGTGGATATTGACCCTGGCTCGGGCTGGATTTTCCCTATACCGAAATCGATCCCAAGTCATCGAAGGTTGAGCTGGAGTAGCTATGGCTCCGTCTCCATCGAATGTCCCATGCCTGTCAGGATTCATGAATTCTCTACCGCCCCCACGCCTGAGGCGGAAAAGCTGAATCGTATCGAGTCTCTTCCCTCGTTGATCGGTACCCCTGGGATCAGCCGATGCTTCTTACTCGATAATAAATAAACTAGCATAGATATCGAGGCCGGGAATCTGTTATGGCGGTGATTCTACATCGCCCAAGTCCTGCGTGTGAGCAGAGCAAAGAGTGACAGTCCTTTACCAATGACGCTTGAACATATGATGGCATTGTGTACCCAACACGTTATCCCCGGTTACATATGTATATTGCATGGACAGATTGCCCAATTCCTTCAAATTCGCCGAGATCCCCACAACAAGGACTCGAACAAATGATGTGAGTTAGGTGACATGAACTAGGCTGAGCCAAGCTGTCCGAGTATCGGGATCGGGAAACTAATGCGCACAATCAAGCCTTATTCCATGCTGTGCTCTGGATGTTTTGCCGGTGTAGTGCGATGGATTTCTGTCTAGCGTATCGTTTTCCAGACCTTTGGTATCTCTGGAGTAATCCCAGATAGGGATTGTGCATTCTCTGGCTGAATGGCGTGATTATGCGTGTGTCGTACAACTGGATTGGGAAGGCCTACCCGTGAATAGCGCATTTCAATCGTATCTTTATCGCCCTTGGCGCTGCCAGCACATGCCGCAGTCAAAGTACTCGTCAGTCCTATCGAGTTTTGGGCTTTCCCAATCGACTGTCGCTCTTCCAACCTCCACGAATCCTCCCATATCATAAAATCCGTTGAAGTAGTAGTTGATTTCATTTTCCCCATGGAATATCAAAAACGTGTTCGGCAAGTTGTGATAGTCCAAAGACAGGGTTGAGGAATCAACGAGTGGCGGTAGGTATCGAGAAGGATGGACTGATCGTTCCTGGGACTCTTCACTATTTATGTGCCTTACCTCCCAGTCGCGTGAGCACAGTGAAAATTCCGCCGCGAGGAAATCAAACTATCTGGGAGTATGGTTCGAGTCTACGTATCATTCAGCCTATCAAACCGACCCGAACGTCGAGATCTCAGCTCTTGCTGTTCACGGGCCAATCAACTACGGAACATGTTTATGCTCTAGCGGTCGTACTCCACACCATAAAAATAGATTCTATCAGGAAACACGACCAACTATGACCCATGTGATGTTTGCCTTGTCTTTGTCCCAAATAGTAGTGATCCTTGTGGCTACTCACCAGCCTCTACATGTGCTAATACAGATGTATCGGTTATTGGCGACAACCAAAGATTGCAATCCAACGCCCAGCTCATTGGCTATGGGTATCTGTGTGGGAGGTAGATCTTGAGCTGAGATGGTCGGGTGATCCTGTCCGGCAGGACTTCGAATAGATCTCCCATCTCCGCAATTTCCTACTCACTTCTCTTTTCTTTCTGCGTTCTTTTTATTCCGTGCCTCTAATTTTATCATTATTACCGGCATATCTGTTTCGTCTGGACATCCTGAGCTTACCATCCGTAGTGCACGGTCGACACAAGCATTCCTGATTATTCGCTCCAAAATAGTCACTTCCATAGTACACTGTAATCTCATCATCGGCATGGATATCTTTCAGCGCCACGACGATGGCCTCGGACTCCCCGGGCCACACGATTTCGCAGTTCTGCATGCAGTCGTGGTTTACAAATCGAGCAGGACCTAGAAGCATTGCAAGGAATCGACCGCAAGATGACTGAAGAATGCTGAAGTCTTTGCCCGATTCCTCGAGTCTCAGCCTGTCTTTCCTTGTCAAAGGTACACAGACCCCGCCGAGGAGAGGGATAATTTCTCCAATTTTGAACGCACGATTTGCAAATACAGCCGCCTCTGGCCCTCGGCCCGATAGATTTTCGGATGTGGCAATCCTGAACGGGCATTTGGGACTATAGATTTGAAGATAGCTTCTCAGCTGTGTGCCGAACCACGTTGATGACAAACCGGCGGTCTTACTTGAAGAAACAAATTCCTCTAAGCAAGGCATATGTAAAATGCGGTGCTGAGCTCGATCGATGGAAAACCGTTTTCGCGCGTCAAGGATTTTAGAGACATCGCTCTTGTTGATGGCGTGAAGTGGGAGATAGTTTGCAGAACTCTTGCGCGTGGTTGCCGGAAAATTGACTTGTGGTAGTTTCATCCCATCAATAAGTAGACCCACTGCAACATCATCTAGACTCGCTAGCTCCGCTAGACTAAGGCGTCGAGGCGTTCCCTGAACTCGAAAACTACTTTGTCTCGTCACCTCCATTGAAAGAGGAGCCAATCAATAGTACAGTACATCCAGTGAAAAAAAGCCCGACGGGTAGACTCTCAACATTATATGTCTTTGGGCTCAAGGGCGATCTCCACCACCGGGAAGGAAAATCCAATTCTAGGAGCTGCTGGGTGTCAATCAAGCCATCTATCGCTAAAGATGATCGATGGATGGTCGTCATCTCGCTTCCGAGGAGCTTTAAGAAAGAATCGTTATTCTACTGTAGCTACAGATCTATCACAGGCACCAGTGACGGCACAGCTTCGCAAATTGTCCAATTTGAGCACACGTGATTCAGTAATGCTCTAATCAAGCCTCGTCAAATTTCCTGCTCCTCCTAGAAAATGGTGGCTCAATTCAGAAATCTGTAGTGCCATTTACAGTACGTTATTGTTTGTCTTGCCCCACACGACCGAGGCCCTCTCATTTTTTCAATGTTTACGGGATCACCATGCAGACTCCGCTCAATTGAGTCATTTCCGCTGTAGCCTTTCGCTCATCGCCCATTTTCAAACGCATTAAAGAAAGAATGGTGTGGCAATAGCATCGAACAAGTTAAGGCGCCCAGACATAGGGGACTTCTAGCGACCGCCGTGAGCGTGGATTGCTATTCGGGGCTTGAAAGCACTTCGATTGTGGCTTCAGAGTAATTGTAATCATCATATCGTACTCCAATACAGGGCCCGAGAGAGATTCCCCGCGGGTAAGTGGCGAAATTAATTTCAATCCATCCTGTATGCACATTCGTCACATTCACCAAAGCTCTCAGCGTCAATTTGATGAGCGAGAGATAGCACAGTAGGACATCGGCTTAGCATTGGAAATTGACGGAATTCCTCCATGCAAGATGTGAAAGTCAATTCCGGTCTCAACACTGTCTACTGTACATAGCAGCTATGTCACTTTCTGCAGAGAGGGGGAGTGGGGGTCGAAGTAAATGATGATGTACGTTCCACGAAGAAGCCTGGTACATAGGCTTCTGAGCCCCCAATTGTATCAAGAATACAATCCGTTATAAGACACGCCAATTCGAGAAAGTAAACACTTTTCCACTATTGGAATCGGCTTGCTCGGCTCCCAATATATTGTATGTAATGCTACTTCTGTGGCGCCATGTTTGTACAGTATGTCCCGAATGCGATGCACCCATCCACGTTCTTCCATTGTGCTTCAGACCCTAATTCTATATCAGGCCTTCAAAACACCCAGAATGTGCGGTGTGTTGTTCCACGAGAGACCAGCATGTGTCGATGGTTGCCGGCCCAGGACGAATCCCAAGATCAGTAGAGTAGAGTAGACGCTCTATGTACGAGGTTGACCATCTGTCAACACCAAGGACTTTGAGAAAGCGCGTACGTTGCTGGCTGGTTAGTAGATCAGCAATGAAACTCTGGACTAACCTTTCACCTTGTCAATATACTCTGGAAAATGTACAGGTTGGAGATAAAAGCTATATATGATTGTCACTTGCGATTGTACGATAATTCTGCCAAATCAGGGATTCAGGGGACGATTCACTATAAAAAGTATCGCTTGCTTCGAAAAAGGGTTCAAGAAAGAATCTCTGTGCATCAGTGTGGTGTAGCGAAAGTTATGTGAGATATTTTGACTCAATTCCGCCCCGGTCATGCTTTATGCCCTTGTGAGTCGTCCAGACCATCCACCACTCGCATGACTGATGTATACCACCACTAGCGACCTCGGGTGAGATCTGTGAAGACTCGTAAGAGTTCGTCGATAACAAAGGTGAAGCGAAGGCGTTCCTCGAAACGTTCTTCTCTACAATCAACATACTTGACCCTAGCCAGAGATGAAACCGCCTTAGCACCCCATCACCGAGCCATATGAAAAACACCAGCATTCCAATACAGCGAGCCTTCCAGTATCCCGCGGAATGCTCATTCATTGACGCAACGGCTCATGAGGCGATGCTCCTTACTAATAATCGGGCCGAGATGTGTGGTTGACGGATAAATACTTTCGCCGGGAGCCAGGGTCAGCTGACATCAGCCAAGAGAACCAGGCCGTCCATCGGTTGTCTCAGGACCTCGCGCCTTTGCTTCTCTACAAATCTATGGCTTAGCCCAGCGTCCAGGATTACAAAACTCTTTATCTACAGGCGGAAGAGAGAAGGAAGCGGGCAGAAGCGCGCAACTTACCGTCCACTTTCTCCGAGCTCATTCAGCACTGTCATATCCTTTTCTCCGGATCGCTGAGAGTTGATTCACCTTCTCGCTCAACGACCGGAAAAATCCCCTTTCCCTCTGGAAAATACTGCCCGACTCGATTGAAACATTGGACCGACTGTCCACAACAGCTCTCGGAGGTTTACCAGTCCGTGCACCAATATCTCCAACCACACCAAGGACAAGCACCACATTTATTCTCCTCTTTGGCTGAGTTGGAAGGGCTTGGTCGTCGATTTGCCTGCAAACCTCTTAGCAGCGAGCAAGAACTTGAGGCGTACGAGCGGTTCGGTGTTGAAGAACATGTTTACGATATAATAAGCGAACTCTGTTAATTACCAGCTGCTTGTGGGGAGTTTCAGCTCGGCAATAGAATTCAATTCAGTAATCATAGGAATTGTCTGCATGTAAACGAAACCGTGGAAGATGATGCAAGCCAACTACTGGTCACAAATCACCCACGACCTGACCAGTTTTGCATAAATCGTGTAGGCGGCAATTTGATCACCGTTGTAACGACTGTCGAGTACAAGCCACCCCACAAGCTATCTGTTGCAACACTCCGCTTGGGCCTTTGACCGATGAACCTATGGAAGGATATGGTCAGATCTAATAAAATAACCACTGACCAGGAAGCGAGGTTAAAGCACAATACAGAGCGACTCGTCTGCTCCGAAATTATACAGGAATATCATATTATGATTCAGGAAGGACTTGAATCATCATATTTGACCAATGGGCTGAGCCGTGTCCTCCTACGTGTTCCGCATGACCAGCCCAGTACGCTCTACAACTTTTTCTGTGATCCTCACAACGAAGTGACCCCAGAAAGCGATATTACTTCCCAGCTTAGGAAGTCTTCTGTTGCGAGGGTACTTTGTCTATATTTGATGGCATTCCGTTCGCCTATTCAAGGACAAGAGTAGAGGAATCGAGTGCACCCAGACTTTCATACATAGCAAACAAGCTTTGACCACACACGCTCACAAATCCCTCACTCCGATAGCACCAACCCTGAATTTCCGAGTCCAGAGTCCGGTTCATCTTATAGACTACCATCGTCGTCTCCGTTACCAGCCGCCTCAGAGGGTCGTCGAGTGCCCACACGATCTCAGACGAGCTGTGCACCTTCGGAGATTCAACCGCGATCGCAGTCACCTGGCTCGTCTGGCTCTGATACAAATCAAGTAGCTGGCCATAAACGGAGAATCAGTCAGGTCACGTCTTCTCCATCTGCTCGGCGATCAAGTCGCCAACCAAAGGCAGGGAATGACGAAGACGACCATCGCCAGCGCCGCGCCGCGCAGTTCTGTACGCAGCGATGCTTGCTCGGATTGCGGACGAGGAGGAATCTAGATGCATTGTGTCCAAACGTGGATCGTCATCGCCGGGGCCAGAACGACCCGGCTCAGCATCCGATATCGGCAGAGGAATTGACACTTTCATTGAAATACCAGCTGGATGAAAACATAGATCGATGCATACCTCTCGGTGGTTGCGGCTCATACGGCGCTCCTTTCAAACTTACGTGCATGGAATACGGTTACACAGTTCTCGGCAAAGGCACCACTTCGGGGTTGTGGGAAGAAGTTTCCCGTGAGGTGCAGGTGTATCAAGTGCTGCGCAAGGCGCAAGGATCTGCTGTGCCTGTGTTTCTGGGAACGATCGACTTGGCGAAGATCTTCTTTCTTCATGGCGCTGGACAAATTCGCCACCTGCTTGTAATGGGGTGGGGAGGTGAGTGCACAGCGACTATGGAGCTGACGCAACGGCTCCGCTGTGAAATTCACAGATCGAAGAAAGAAATCAAAGCCCTTGGAATAGTACATGAAGACTTTAGGCGAGAGAATGTCCTCTGGAGCGAAGAGCTTGGGCGTGCTTTGATTATTGATTTCCACCGCTCTACGTTGGAATGTCGACCGACTCTTCAACGAGCGGGGGCGGCAAAACGACGACTCCGTCGAACGGAGGAAGGCGATGCAAAGCGTGTTTGTGTGTCGCAAAAAAGATAATCTTTTTTCGACTTGTTGAATTAGCGATTGTTGTTTTTTCTTTTTATATAATACCCAGGTATCGGTTATCGTTCACGCATCTAGGGATGAAGTGCGCGCTTTCTCGCTAGGCTGCGATATAACATAGTTCTGATTTATGCGAGCTAGCTTTGGACGGAGTGAATATCTGGGATCAAGTATGCTGATCAGTTGCTCCCCAGGTGATTCCAATGGCTGTTATGAATGCGCGGCTGAGGTGGCTATTCGTCGTGGCAAAGCGCAAGGATCTAATTCTTTTGCTCAGTTGTGTGCTAGCCAGCTTCCTGTAGACCTGATCGCTCCGCTGTAGTCTCTTGCCATCGATGAATGGACACACTCGACACCCACGTGCGCCGGTAGATATCAGCCACGTCGGTCGCGGAATTTTGGTCGTGCCTGTTTTGAAGGTTAGACATGGACGTCTGTTGAGATATATGCTTCAACCAGATAGCCCGTCATCTATTGGACACCTTGAGAAGCTTCCAACTTACAAGGCGAAATTCAAAATCTGATGTATCTATATTCTTGATCAAGTTGGTAGTTGAGTGTTGATAGCCATGGGCAAGCTTCAACGGGCCCAAAAACTGTGAGGAGCGTACATTTTCACACCCGTTGAATACACCGAGCTGATTGTACAGCTCTGGTGTGTAGTCCAAGAAAGACCGCGAGTATCCTCGTGTCACTGATCTTAGAGGGACAAAATGATACATCCCCCCGGTTTACCAGTGATCTGCACAAAGCCAGTGTCTACCCACTATTATTGGTGTTTCAGACAACCAGTACGCTAGATGAAGCACATGAGTGAACGGAGTGGCCGAAAAATGTGCGATTTTTCATCGCGCGGTTGTTTGGGTCGAAGATTGACACGTGCATTCTTGCTAGCAATGTGAGTGAACTGTCGCGTCCTCTGTCGTGATACAACAGTCATCCGTGAAGATTTCGCACTTTTGGGCACCAGCACCCCAACTGATTCTTATGACATTATACACAGGAATAGCCCACCGACACCTGTCAAAATTCTCGTGGGAAATGATATTGATGGGTCGGAGATAAGAACAAGGCGGCAGGTACTACGACGCGTGCTCCATCGTGTCTTCTGCGTGTTCCGTCTTCACTGCCTTCATACTGAACGGCGGACGCAAACACGTTCCACTGCTCGGCGTCCGCCTGGCAACCACCACCGAAGACCCACCTTGTCCAGACACCCAGTGTTTAGCAATGGCCAAACAAGCTAACTCATGTCCTTCTGCCAGAAGCGCTACGTCAACAGAACAGCTCTTCGCAAGCACCTGACACAATACATAGGTGAATGGAGGCTTCCTGCCGATGGAGGGCACGACGCGTTGCAGATTCAAAGCCATCTCTGCCCGGACAGATTGAATAACCAATGCTGTTGCTCGAAGGTCTAAGATTCTCGAGCCCACTTCCGGGATCATGTCATCTACTATAGACATTGCGGGTTGAATGAGGCTCAAGCTACCATCCAATTGAAACTTCCAAGTCGCCGGGATTGGAATCAGTGGTTGCAACCATTTGACGAGAATTTGGCCACAGGCCAGGAAAGCACCTTTCGTTTCCTTGGTGTTCCCACCGGTGTGTCCTACTGTACCTCTGCTTTGATTGTCCCTTGTTTCGCCTGACGCTTGTCACTGAATGCATTGCGTTGGGCTTTCACCTCAATTTCACTGCTCGGATACTGAATTGGAATGTGTGTGTGTCACGGCAGAAGTGCGCCTAATGATATCTCGGCGCTTGTTTTGCTACGAAGAATAACAATTCGACAAGCAGCTTGATGACAAAAATGTCGATCCACGTCGAGATGGGCTTTGGCTGCAACATAACCCATCCAACAATCCCTTGGCGATTATGGCTGTAAGCCGCCCGATCTATATTGAGGCGCGAGGCGTTTTTTATACTCGAAAAAAATTCAAATCCAACTCCCCTTCCGTTCTTTCTGTGTTTCTGATCGACATCGGGCCAAGAAACGTGAGACTGCTACTGTCTGTGTGGCGGAAAACGGAACATCATGAATATGAAGACGTGACATACACAATCCGGCAGTGCTTACCACAGCCGAATTTCAACGCCATGGCACCTGAACGGGAGGTCACGTCACGCCATGCTAGGCTGGACCAGAGCATTCTTAGTCAAAAATTTCCCCGGCCACTTCCTGGGTCTGCGCACAGTTGCAGTCAATTAGTGCGGCCAGAAGTGGCGACCCGACCGTCTAGCTTGAATCGATGGCGTTTCAAAATGTATCTCAACGCTCGGAAACAATGCCTATTTGACCGAAACCCATGCTGGAAGCGAAAGGCTGTATTTGAACTATGTGTACAACGTAGACAGGAAAGTGGGGGCTAGAGTTTGGAACCCTGGGGCAAGACACTTGAAGCAGAACTAGTGGCCATTCCAATCAATTTACTACTGTTCCTATGGAAAAATATGTTGCAGAGAGCGGGTACCCAATAGTCTAGTCACAGGAATTATGAGCTTTCGAGATGAGCACAGAGAGATCGTACCTCATGTGAATAGTCTTCGCCAGATTAACTTCTTTCAGTATTTAAATGGATGACCAACGTACTCGCGCGGCAAGATACCTTTGATGGGCAGACGACAAAATTACCGATGTTTGATAATTTGTCTCAGGCGGTTGAAGATTTGGCCAACGTTCATTTAAGGACGGAAGGTTCTCTGAAACCTATAACAGTCAATATCGACGCACGCAGACCCCGAAAGCGGGCGTTTCTGTGATTGAAAAGATCGCGCTCCACTACTTACACTTCCGCTTGTTATAGGTGCGGCATTGTGTGATTCGAGCAGTCTTTCCTTTTCTTGGTGCTTTTTTTTGGGGAGGGGGGATAGCCTCATGCAATAATTATAAGATCGTGAATACAATTTTGCGCCATTTGGACGGGATATACTGAATTGAAACGCAACCAGGAAATTCTAGGGTGAAAAGAATATCACATGTGAGGGCCTCTCGCTCTTATGGTGGTGACTAGGCATACTTAAAGACATTCAGCGGTCATGCACATGCTTTGATTGCCATAAAATGAGGACTCAACAAGTATCCTGGACATACATCATATGCAAACGATGTTTGTTTCAGATTTCCACAGAAAGTATGATATCCAAATTCTAATTGGCGGTGGCAGACGGACACGATTTTGAACCTAGAGATCTCAATTAGGAGGCCAGGTCGTTTTAAGCTCACTATACGATCTTTGGCCTTTTAATTCATGGAGCAGTCTTTGTAAAGAAAGTGTGTCGGTAATGTATAACTCAGGTCTCCAATCAATTTACCATTAACTTGAACGATAGATTTGGGATTGTTTGGCGTTCAAGACGACCCTCTGAAATATTTGGTCCCCGGTTATCGCCGCGGCGGGAGCAGCACCTGGAATGTATGCATTATTGGGGTCTGAAATATGGTTTGACGGATACAGAAGTAACAATCCTTCGGGAAGTCTTGGGCATACACAGTATTGTGCCTTCTAGTGCTACTGTACGAACTGCTGTGCAGTTTATGATGAGTATCATTGCTTGCAACATTCTTACTCAAAGCAATACGTGTTAAGAGACTCAATGTAGATATCCCCTGTTAAAATGCTTGGTCGTTTGTATGTACATACCAAGTAGCAAATTTCACATATGCGCCCAACGCTACAATACCACGGTTTCAATTGCTCAGGGCATGTGAGATTGTTTATCACATATCCACGAATCACCGTGTCATGATAAGTACATCAAGCAAGCTCAGATGATGTTTATGTTTTTGAAAGGGTTGCTTCCAGCTTAGCGACTTTGTCGCCATTCTGCACAAATGTTTGGCGACACGTGCGAGGAACCGTAAAACATCTACCGACCACAAGAAGTTTGACTGACTTGACAGGGCCACCATCACGTCCACTTGTTTCAACGGCCTACTTTTCCGATATACCATAGATTGGGCCATGCGGGGTATCTCAGTTCCACCCTAATGCACTTCCAGCACATACGCAGCGTGATTGAGAGCTCCTAACCTACTGGCATGATGTATTTTCACCACATTTCATAAAGTCCATTTCATTTTATCCAGCTCCATCTGACCATTCTCCATTTTTGGCCGCTTGAATTATGTATCTTCTTGAGCATGGGGATACTGCATCATCAAGTTGACGGTGTTGTTTGGGCATCCGATAAGTTAGTATGTGGTTAAGGAATCAGGATCCGCGATAGTGCAGGTACCTTGCGGCTGTTTCATTGCATAGGGCGTTTCATATGGTCGGGAATGGGTTGGGGATGTAGAGGTCTCACCAGAACTTGAAAACTATCCTTTGTGTATGTAAGTTACAGGGGTTTTTCGACACGTTTGACCTCGGTTCAAGGTTGCCATGTTATATATCTGTCCACACACTAAACGTAGCTTGGGTGCATTTCAGGGTACAAATGCCAAACGACAAAGTATATAAACGTGAACGAGACGCTGAATCAACTTTTCGCATCTACTGTACTCTCCCCTCTCAAACTCTGTTGATGCAGCTTCGACGATCTGCAAGAATCAGTGGATTACAACCTCAAGCCGAGTATCTAGGCAGGGGCGAGCGATCTTCAAATCCCCGAGTCCCTACAGACTCTACTCCATCATGGTCAGATAGGGCAGTCACGAGAGCAGACAGTAGAGCCTCGGAGAAGACAGACGGTCCGTGGCTTAAAGCACTTGAGTGTACATTTGGTCAAATTCCATCTCCTACGACCAGTACACAAAATCAAGATGACACCTCCTTTTTTGATCATGTTGACCATTCCTCAAGTCATCGAGGAGTTCTCACTGCGGAGCCTTCTTTCATGACTTCGAAGGAAGAATCCTCTGACTGCAATCCCCAGATCGGTCAGGGTGACTTCAATGGATGGAAAGACTTCACGGGCATACCCGAAGTCTTACATCCTGACGCTGACGCTAAGATAGCGGATCAGCTTCGAGACCTCATAGGTATCCAGCGTGTGCTCATCTCCACAAAACAGATGATTAGTTGCAAGCTGCTTCCAGGCATACACTTATTACAACATCACCTTGAGCAGAAGGTTGATTGATTATGACCCTGTGGCTATGATATGATCCCTTTTCGTGGCATGAATTCCTCTCTGTGATGAGAGGCACACTGCTCTGTGAGGCTAGCACATTCGAGTATTGTCACTCCTATCCGATGAACCGGCCACTTTCCGAGGGAAATAAATACACTTCATGATATAATAGTTCGTACTAAGATGAACTAATGAAGTGTATACATCATGGTCACTCCAAATCCAGTGATAATACATGTTGATGATTTAAGCGAAATTATTAAATCCCAAAGCTACTTCAACCATATTGACATATTCGGCGCCCAGTAGCCGTTTAATCAAATCATTACAGAGCCAACCGCAGTTGGGAAAATATAACATTCAATTCGGCTTGAGTCCGTAAATCGTATAGTAGTGGTCGAAACAGGTGACGCCGTTCCGGGCAAAATTCCAGCAATTCCAGCAGGAAGACCACGATATCAAATATCCAGACTGGTGTAGCCTTGGGAGAGATCTATCATATTAGCAGAATCAGCAAGCTACCATTGACGACTATTTGCGGTATCCGAATCCCTCTTCTATTATGGGGTTTAAACGCTGAGCTATGGTCGCAGTCGTGTCATCATTCCTTCGATAAATTCAACCACCATCATGCTCTTCCGGCTTAGTTTGGTTTGCGGCAAAGTAGACTTTCTGCGAAGATAAAAACTACCTATCTCGATGTCTGGATGGTAGCTACATATGTTTCAAAAGGTTGAGTTTACCTGCCGGCGCCAGTTTTGCCAATGATACGCCTGATCTCTGCTCTCAATTCAGGACTGAGAACTTTTCTTCTGACTGAAACTTTCAGAGTTGAGGGACATAAGCAGAAAGAGGAACATAAGCAGAAATTAAAGCCAATGTGAATTATCAAGATCCGCGGTACGTCTGAGCTGTGAAATTGAAGCGACTACACATGCTACGTATTTGATTCTTACGTTGCGCTAAGGAGCTCGGCGTGTCTCGTGCTGACAGTACTTCTTACGGGATCGCTGAAAGATTGCAAATACAGAAAATGACTACATTACAAGATGGAGGGCTGAGCAAATACTGATAGCGGATGGTTTGGTGAAAGGAATTTGACCTTGACCAAGGTTAATCTACACTTTGGATTGAAATCTGTATGCTAACGATTCCAGCTCATGCCTGAGTTGCTGGCATCCGGCCGTTTACCTTTATTTTTCAGGCCCATTTCCAAGGGGCTAGCCCGAAGTTCTCTTTCTCGAACCTGAGTCATGAATAAAACCGCCCAATGTACTGATGGCGGCAGTAGCCGACGAGAATTCTGTTCATAATATTTAGTTTTAGTGAAGATTGACGTCATTTCTTGTGGATAGTTGAAGAACTTTCATTCTGGTGTACTAAGAGGCTGAGAACGATATGCGAGCAGAGAAAGTACATGATTGCCAGGGAAGAAACATTGTCTTTTGGACATCGATCTCTCTGATTCAATTCAATAATTCATCTACCAGCTTTGATGGTAGCCACTGATTCTACTTATCTATCGGATATCTATAGCTTCCTGGGGGTAGTGTCGTGCGATAATGTATGCCATTCGAGGCTGCTAGGAGAATCTCGACAAGCTAGTTACAGTTGCCGCTGACGGAGACATAGATATCAGACTCGGCAACGAGTGTGATCATACACGATCTAGCATACCGAATCGATTTCTTACTACGAAGTTTCTAATTACTAGTGAAAGTAAACTCTCTGCCCAGTTGGGGACTTGTACGTGAATGAAATACCAGTGAACGTGCCAATCAAAGACGCGTCTCACGAAATTCATACCTTGGATGCACATGAGGAGATGCTGCTTGCCGCGATATCTGTGCAAAAAACTGCATCACCTGGATTAAATCCCTTGACCTCGCCCGAATGCGAGTAAGGTCGTGTTCAGCCGCGGAGAAACCGCCCACTGGTACCCCATCCCGGGAGTTTCCGATCTCCAACCAAAGTGAGGGTAACACAGGGTGATCGAGCACTATGAAAGGGAGAGAACTCCTAGAATGAATCGGACGATATCGTATGTTCAGAATAAGTAGAGCTCTATCTTCCACTGAAATGATCAATTCATCAACGTTCACGTCGATCTTCTAGGCGTTTATTGCGAAGGACTTTCTCATGTATTCTTCTATGCAACTAACAAAAAAAAAGCCTACAATTACCCGCAGTGGCTTTTCGTCGTTATTGCGATCAACGCTCAGTAAGTACATAATGCAATGATTCGATCATATTCTCTCTTCTCTGCACGAGTGCCCAAGCAACTAGGCCAATCAAAATGGGACACCTGTTCCCAACCCTGTGCATATGGGGTATCTACCGTGAACGAAAAGTCTTAAGATCAATTCTTCGAATCCTATTTTGCATCTACCAATTCTTTGAAAACAGAGTCCGTTTCAGTCTCGCTCCGGCTATACCTCGAAGATCATTCAGAATGGAGGGTGCGTTCAGGAGGTAGGTAGTACAATTACTATTTTGTGATTATCCGTGCCTGACACAACGAAGACATCTTGTCTCGCCTTTGTTCAAGTTCACAGTGGGCGCCGAAAAGAAGGACATCACGGTTCATTCTTCTGCTTTGGCAGAGCTTTCCCCGGCTCTTAATGCTCTTATGAATGGTGAAATGGTTGAGGCCAAAACGAGACACGTCGACTGGTCCGAGGTCGATGTTGACACATTCGTTCGGTTATGCGAATTTGCCTATTTCAGGAACTATACGCCCCCGCGATCTTGCCTCATTGAAGGCCGGATCCCTCTAGAAACCGCAAAGCCGATAAAGAAAAAAAGAAAATCCAAGAAACGTCGCTCGAACGTGTTCTGGGACGAGCCTTTGCCAGAGCCTACGGCCGCGCCCGAGCCCGAGCCCGAGCCTATATTTGAGCCCGTACCTGCGTCTGCTGAATCTTTAGATGAAGGACCCAGATCCGAGGAGGAAATTTGCAATGACCCAGAAATTGCGTACAAGGAGCGAAGTGTCTGGACTGGACACCTGCGAGATAAATTTACAAGCAGTCTGGTCATTCCCTATACAGAGAAAGATCTATCAGAGACCAGCTTCACACCACCTCAGATTGCCGGTTCTTGGGAAGATTTCCACCCTGTCTTTCTCGAGCAAGCGAAACTTTACGTGCTCGCCGACAAATATGGCATAGAGTCTTTGCGTCGACTAGTCATTTGCAAGCTACATCAGACGCTGAGCAATTTCAAGCTATACGAGACAGGGGTGGTCAGTATCATTGAATTCGTTCGATTTGTCTACTTGAACACACCGCCAAATATCGGCAGCGAGATGGATGCCATGAGAAACTTGGTAACACGTTATATAGTATCTGTTCTTGGACAAATGGGCGAGACAAAATGTTTCCAAGAGCTTTTAGAAGACGGTGGTACTTTTGTCACTGACTTCTGGCGCATTATTTGGAGCGTTGAAGGGAAAGTCGAAGTTTGCGACTAAGGTTGTGATGGGGTCCCTTCATTCCCCGTGAGTACGGTGATGGCTTTTGTTGTAACTTGATGGAAAAGCAGGGACGATGGGGTAAAATCCTTGAAAGTCCGGGAATCCAAGCTCTGGATAATTTGAAACATTTTGGTCGGGCATAGACTGCCCTTTTCAACCAACATCTCGGAGTAGTAACTACACTCAATACCCAGAAATATTCTACGACGACATAATTTGCAACCCACTTCCAGCACATTGTCCGTCTTCTACTAACTCCTCGGGCCCACATGACAGGTGTCACGGAGACAGTCTTTTAGGATTTTCAGATAAATACAGTGCTGACCGCTTTCGCCTTCTACAGTAGAAAACCTTTTGAATACATAGCTACCTACGGCGCCGCTCGAAATCCATTTCACAGTTCTGTTATGTTTGATTCTTTCATAAATCTGGCCAAACCTGCTTCGGTTTACATCGGACCTAGACAATCTATGACTGTCGAATAGGAAAGGGGGAATTATTATCTACCAGCCTCATCAGGGCTAGGGTGCAGACAACAGAGGTTGAGAATAAATTGAAGAGAACAAGATGGTGAGATTGACCTCGATCGCGCCTGTGATGCATACCCTGAGTGATGGAAATTTATGGAGGTTTCATAGCCAATCGGATAAGCAAACAAAAGATAATAAACAAAGCAAAGATCGTTCTCAGTCTCATTTCTCGTATATCGTGCGACATAGGTATCAGAGGCAATTTTGTTAGTTGGTGGATAACGGCAATCACCCTTGTGTCCTGGGGGGTCTTTGTTCTTTTCTTTTCGGGATACAGGTATGTATTTTCGATTCGAGTATTTATGTCAAAGTTGATATCAGTAAATATGCTCACGATACACCGTGGGAGGTTTGATACCTCACAGTGAGCACTTCCGAGTACACGACCCATAATCGGATAAATATTGGCGGGAACAAAATTTTGAATCTTTGGAGCAGAGCTACTCCTGGCATGAGATCTCACTGGCTCCAAAAGTGTTGGCAATTCCGGGTATGGTTTGACATGCCTCTGGCAATGGATTGGAAATTCGCTGAGCAGTCAAGAATGGGCTCGGTAAAGTCTTTCTCCGTTATACTTGAAAAAGAGCGTGTGTTAAATGGGGACTTTGAACTGAATATGCGAATAAATAGATGGTTGACTCGATTTACTCTCGGCCAACCTTCATTCACAAACATATTAGCGGAATCGTGGCATAGTTAGGAAATTTCTTGGCAATTAGATCTAGAGCAAACAGAGCCTCAGGACTTGACTAACGCGGACGAGATGCCCGTTGTATTAATGGAGACTCTGCTATGTACGGGCTCTAAAGCTCTTCTTTTCTCAAACGCACTGTAGTGGACCGCCGGGTGTACTACGGATGCTCTCGAAATTAGTTTCACTATTTTGTTCTACTCGGTTGCTTTTCAGGTACATACCATTTTTATCAACACTAAGTATGATCTAGCTAGTTCATATTCGTTGGCTTCTTCCTCTTCGACAGCCATGAATGGCCTACGCCAGATGTAGGCCGAGATGGGTCTATCCAAGACTTAAAAAAAGAATCAAACAGGATAAAATGGTGAAACTCATTTCGAGCGGACCGGTATCAAACTATATATTGTCTTCAGGCTTCTATTTTGTCTTCCCTTTCAAGTATTGCTTGCTGTCGCAATTTGGAAATGTAACTTGAGTATCCCAGATTTGAGGATAGTGTGGCTGCAATCTTATTTATACGCGCAAGCCTTCTCACCCCAAAGGCTTCTGGCACTATCCTGTGAATCTAGCTCATATTGTGTTGCCATGAGTAGTATGAAGCTTCGGCTCTTCCGGCGCAAATCCTTGTTACGTCGAATTTGCCGCCATGGAGCAAGGCCCAGCAGACGCCACCTCAACTTGTTACAACCTTCAAATCAGCGTGAGTGGCATCCGGCTTGTATGATCAATTTTGTCGTCACCTCTCTGGAGGTTTTGAGTGATAGAAGGAATCGCCAGTTGTGGATTGATCCAGTCAAAGTCATTCTTGAGAGGGACTACTTTGACCTCAAACTCTCATCAAAACGGCCGATTGAAAACATGCAGAGATCAGTGGAGTTTCCCGGACTTGAAGAGAAGCATACCGTTGAGCAATGGAATTTATTTGCTCTTAGGGGCTTTGTGGATAATTATCTGCGTTTCTTTCACGAGGGCGCAAGGGGGAAGATTCTGAGACGAAAATATCTCATACACATTATTTGTCTGCAATTTGTGCAGTCCGTACTTGATGGGTTTATCGACAGCTTCACCATTGAGACGAAAAACTTCACTATTGAATATTTGGAATGTTACGTCATCTTGCGGCGACTCAGTATGCAAGTCCATGAATTTGGAGGCTGCCGATAGATAGATGAAGGATTTTATTGAAATGCATGCATTTTACAGTGAATGAATGCGCACTAACTCAGTCTATCCTGTGTTCCTGATGATAGTAGCCGAACGCATAGGTCAGAAGTTAGGCCAACCTCCAACTCATTACTATAGAACTTGGGGAGAAACATACAAGATTTCGTGAAAGAGAAAGGAGAAGATTTTTTTGCTGTTTCCAAACACCTATCTTAGCAAGGGAGATGGGGAGTAATAACTAGTGCCGAGGAAAATACCAGATCGAGAAAACCCATCCCAGACCTCAATAATAAAAAATATTCCGACCGGCAGCGTAATGACTGTCATTTGCGGAAATCTGGGCAAAAATAATAGCAAGATCACAACCCTTGCTGTCGGTCAATAGTCCTCTCAGCATTGCCGCATCGTTCGGGTCTTCTGGTCAAATCCGTTGAAACGAGGGATAGGGCGAGACCCCTCGAGCGGAAACAATCAATAATCGTTACCGAGATAGGAAGCATGGGGACAACTGAAGTCCAGCGGTCACCTCTTTTGTGATAAAGACCCGGATCCTAACGGACAACCCGTACAATCCGTACAATCCGCCCAATCCGTCTCATTTGTCCAAACCGTACAATAGTACTAAGAAAAAAAAGCCTTTCGCCGGCGAATTTATGGAAAAGTTCCATCTTATAGAAAGAAGAGCCTTCGATGGGCCTAGATAGAAAAAAACGTATTCTCTGTTTCTTCCTATGGAACGGAGAGAGGAAGTGTGTGAGGGGGAAAGATCGAATTGAGAAAGGAAGAAAGTTTACTAGACCCGACCCGACCTTCCAACATTACCAACACTCCACCTTCAAGCTCGTTACTTCGACGGCCAATCCCCTTCGGGCAGGCGGACAGACAAGATTCCAGGTCAGCGACGTTGGTCTTTCTTCACAAAGCAGTCGGAGCTGATCTGGCCGGCTCTACCGCTCGCGACTGCCCAGGCATCAAATGCAAATTCGTGATGAGCTCGCTCGGCCCTCTGGGTTTTCTGATTGGAAAGACCTTCAGGTGGCACCAAAACGTCGTATCTGAACACAGCGCGAGCGATGACAAGCTCTAGCTCCAGCAATGCCAGATGCATTCCGACACAGCGTCGTGGGCCTTCTCCAAATGACCTGAAAAGTTTCAGGTTCAATTGCTTCCCGTCTGCTGAGATCCATCTTTCTGGTCGAAACTCGTTTGCTCGGTCGAATGACGCCGGGCTCTGATTGTAAGAACTGAGGGACACGCCGACGTTTGTGTTCTTGGGCACAACACGACCATCTATCTCAGCCGTTTCAGCGAGGACGATACGGGGAGACAGGTTGGGAACGGCTGGGACGAGGCGCATGGTCTCTCGAATACAGGCTCGCAGATAAATGCAACTTGCTAGTTTGGGCCCCGAAGTGATCTCACCTTCATCTTTGAACACTCCCCGTACGTCCATGGTCACCCGGGCGAGGCTTTCCGGGTGGTGGACCAAATAAAAAAAGAGAGCACCCATCGTCGTGGACGTGGTATCAGAGCCTGGCAACCTTCGTTAGCGATGTTATCTCCTAAGTCTAGCCCGCTGGCTTCCATGAAGGTCCAGCTTCACCCACCTGCTGCGAGCAGCAAAACACTCTCGGTCCACAAGCCCTTTTTGGTGTATGTATTGTTCTCACCCCGGGTCGGGCGAAGCAGCGCGAGAAAGTCCTTCCGTTCAACGCTTTTTTCGAGGCGCTGGATGAGGTGGAACCGCGTCCAGCGCCCCAGTTTAATGATTGAACCAAAGCTGGGGATGAATTGATGGAGGTAGATCAACCACCTGAACCGGGGCTGTACGATGCACTATGTTGCTTCTATTAAACCAAGCCAACAGGGGTATGTCCGAGAATACTGACAGTCATGATCCACCGGGACATGTGCCTGTAGGCGGGTCCGACCCAACGATATTCCGCAGAACACAGCAAGCTGAGAGACTCGCCATAGAGGAGGTCGCTGATGATGTCCAGCGAAAGCCAGTCACATAGGTCCTGCACGTCGTAGTCGCCCACGCCAAGCTGGTCAAGAAAGCGATCGATGTGAGGTCTCATACGGGCCTCGTTGCGACTTGTCATACCCGATGCAAAGATTTTCGATATGATTTGGTGTTTGAATCGATGTTGCTCGTTGTTGACTGTGCTCAGAATCGTAGGCTCACGGGGATCGACACTGAAGCATTGCCAACGGTCGGGCTTGCCTATCACCTCGTGGCTTCCTGTGTAGATGTCATCCAAGCCCTTGAGAGTTTCGAAAGACAATTCGTTTACACTAGAGCGAAAGACCGGCCCTGCAGCAAAAGGATGAGTGAGCCCCTACCAAACAAGTCTCCATTTCACTCACCATATCGATCGTGGCATCGTCTGTTGTAAGTGTGGAGGGTTCCTTTCCATGCATAGAACGCTGGGTACCAACAAGTAACGGCCGCGAGCCAAGGTCCGGGATAACCTGACAGAGGATGGAAAAAGACTCTTCGGATCACGGTGACCAATATCTTGACTCGATTATTAGGGGTCTAACGGTGGGGTTGGTATTTCACATACAGAGAAGAGCAATATGGTGAGGAATAGAAGTAACTGGATCGACAAAGAGATTTCTGGCAGTTTAGCAGCGGCAGATTTCAAAAGAGCCATGAGTGCGATAGGAGGTCCCGGTGAGTTTGATCAGAATGAGTTGGACACACGCACTGCGGGGAGCGGCTCGTAAATATAAGTTCAATGTTGTGAAGATGTTTACGGAGAGAAGGGACTGAGACTGTATCATATTATACCATCCAACTTTGAAAGGCCATGTACTTCTCAAAGTGCTGTACATATCGGCGTGTGAGCACGATCGCCGTTCCAGAGGTAGCGCCTTGTTAGAAAATCATTCCAAGGTAGAAATCACGTTATAATAGGGTTATTGATGATCATTGGTGGGGGAAACATATATGATTGCTGCAACGAGAAGAAAATTGCAAAATTACCTTCCAAACACTATAAGATGTACTTGATTCGGAAGCGAAGCTTTCCGTACATTATAGAGACGAACTGCGGGGATACGTAGCTAGAGTTGGCAAGACTGCGAATGACAATTCTTTTTCAACGAGCTCAGGTACATTCCTTGTTAGGTAATTTGGATTCCCATTCTCACAGTACACAAGTGTGTCCAGGAAGCTTCCTCGCCGTCAGCAACAAAACCAGGCCGACACTGACTAACCCTCAACTTCTTGCGTCTGATGGTCATCGTTTTCTTAGTCTCTTGATTCAAGCAAAGAGACACAACCGCCAAGGTGGGAGATGCTTTTTGCAATCGGTGCATATGCAGCTGCTAGCTCGGTAACGCTGAATCTGTGTGTCCGGTCAAACTGCAACCAACGGCCCACCTGTCTTCAATGATCAGTCTTCTATTTCTCATCTTTTTCAAAGAGAGTAAAAAAGGGTGACAAATGGCTGCCATCCTCATTCCAAGCCAAAGACATCGATGCCTTCTAGAAATAGCAGTAGAGGGCCCTTCCTCGGTTGATCGGTCCTCCTCTGAGGCTGCTTCCTCGAAAAATACCTCTGGATAATAAAGCCGGCTCCAGACCTGTCCTCGAATCAAAGAATCTTCTGGTAACTGTTCGACAGGTTCATCGTCCAATTTTGAGATTCGCTCACTCTCAGTCCTATTGCTGAAGTGGTCTGGCTGGAACAAACCGTTCAGATACGTCACCAGCCTCGTCCATGGAACTAGTGGTTCCACTCGGTGCATGGCGGCCGGGTGAAAGGTCAAACACCAGATGAACGCCATTGAGATATGCACGCTCGGATCTGTGATCTCGTCAACCCCTTGATCGAGCATGGCTATCAAGATGTGAGATGCGAGCGAACTTGCCCGGAGCATGAGCTGGGATGATATGCCACCATCCGTAGAATCGAATGGGCCAGCACTGGATGTCCACTGCGCTACCAACTTTCGCCTTTCCTCGGTAGCAGGGCGATCCCGAGGGCTGAAATCACAATCTATCAGCCCGTCTGTGCTCCCATAATGGAACATCGCGGCGAAATTGCAGGATGTAACTTGAGCGGCACTCTGCCATTGTCGAACCAGCAAAGTTTTATCCTCCCGCAATGTTTGTAGGAACTGATATGCGCGACTGACGAATTCATCAGCCGGCTTCTACATGAGAAGTGCCCCGTGAGCAGTCACAAATAAAGCCGTTGGATTCAATGTCGTGATTGGTGAGCTCATGTGCGGATTTAAGAGTTTGACGATACTGTATCTCGCATTTGGAAATGGGCGCACACTGACAAGTGCTTTCATGTAGTGGAATAGTTGCTGCAGAATATCCGGGCTGGACAAGACTGCCAAGTGGTGCTGGGTACGTCCGTTCTCCCAATTGCGGCTGCATGGTGGTGATACCAGTACCTAGAAATATCAGCCCAGAGCCTGTGGTCTGCACCATGAAATCCTTCTATGGCCATTCGATAGCGCGCCAAGTCCCCCAGGCATTCGATCCATATGTCTTTGAATTCAGCCACATGTTCCAGCAGCAGTGTCACAGTCGAGTATGCGAGATGGATGAAACCAGTCATATATCCCAGCGAGCCGCGGAGCCTCAGGCCCATCAACTCTAAGAATGAGTGGATTGCATATTTCCACATACGCGCTGGTATGGCATATTTTCCAGGTAAGCGCTTTGTAATCGGATCCGCTACCGGGTGTTGAGATGCACAGAGAAAATCGTGATGATGGTAGAGAAGTGAGCTGTGTGCCGACAGAAGAGCCTGCCATTGCCCGTTTGACAGTTCTCCTCTCGACATCCTGTGTCGCCCATCAAGTACAATGCACGCTTTCTCCGCTATCACCAGATCCCTGTATATTTCTCGTACTTGTTCAATCAATATATTCACGGTGATTGGATCCGTTTTCGGCTGCCTAAACATTTCAATAGTGTGGTCACAACGACTTTCCTTTTGTGTCCAATCTACCTCTGTCTCTGCAATAGCCAGTTCCCGACTGTCTGATACCTCATATTCAAATTTTGGGGAGAGGCCTCGTGAAGAAATGTCAGTAAACTTGCTTTGAATTCCAAAGCTTAGTGCAGCCCTTGGAACCTTGGCAACTGCACTTCCGGGCCCCGCAACAGGGCCCGGAATCGATGTTTCGAAGCCTGGACGCGTCGTGATATCCCCTGCGTCTTCGTTTTGTTTACTGTCATGTGGTCCCCTGACTTCTGCGGTACACTCTGGGATAGAACGGGACACAGTGGCTCTCACATGACAAGCGGCTGGCGACCAATACAGCACCGGGGGGTTGCGCAAGAAATCGTTGCGGTGTTTGTCGACGTGGCCGTTCTGAGCGGGCTCTTTGAATTCATGCATCCTGGCGTTCAAAGACCCGAATGTGCAATCGTCCACTTGCTCCCCTATCGAATGGCGCCGGTTTGGCATGACGGGACGTAGGCGCGGACCGATAAACTCCGGTTTCAGCTCTTCGGGGAGTGTTCTTTTCATTCAATTCCTGTAGAAGGATATCATTAGCGGATATACTTCGACATTCAAAGCGGGGCTTGCCTGGTTGACAGTCTCTCAGAAAACCTCTTGCCTCGATACAGACTGGCGTCGCTTTGCCTTTGGTATGTTCGCAAAAGGATACCAAGAAGCCAGCGTAGTGAGAAATCAGTTGGGCACGTGGGTCATTATCTCTGATGAGGCAAATATCTACGGGGCAATTTTATCAACTTATACTAACACGGTCTGCAGGCATTTGCTACCCGACTACCCATCGTTGGGGCTGAAGGCTTGTCGATGACTCGCAAAGTCCTGTTTCTCTCCAGCTGGCTGCCCCTGCATACATTTCCAGTTTGACGGAGATCTCTCTCAGCGTGCGATTGGATGTCATGTCTCCGTTCTTGGTAAGCCCAATAACTCATCAGCCCAACCGGGGCTGGGTTTGCTATTTGTGCCCTTACGTAACAGATACTAACCCCGGCTAGGTCCTAGATTGGTCATATTGGAAGCCAGTTGCCAATTCTTTCGGGCGCCAATCGCGTCCATCACGTCTCTCTGCTGTGATCTGGAGAGTCAAGGACAATGCAAGCAGAGTGTTCATCGGCTTGCCTTTTTTTTGCGGAAATCCTCAGGGTGTGGCTCAGTTTTCTGCAGGGACATAGTACCATTGCGGATCACACATATGGACATGAGTCATGACATCATCCTAGGCACCAACATACGGGTGGGGTGGTACGTGCTTAAGCCAGTCGAGTCTGAAAGCGTAAACTATCTCGCACCTTCATTTGCTTTTTCAAGTTTTGGCTCATTTGAAGACAACGGGATCTAGACCCAGACTGCACGCAGATAACAGACATTGATGTGATCTCGGATTGAACAGGATATCCGCAGGGTTACCCGGGCAAGAAAACTAGGAGATGGCCCTGATCGAAACGACGTGTAAATTTGAATACATAGACTGCAGTAGCGTGGCTGCACCCGGGTGAATCAATTTCAAGGCACTTCTAGATTGGCCCGGAATCCCATCCTTCCTACCTTCCTCATTCCATTCTGAAAATGACGCAACCTGAACGGCTCTTATCCCATGCAATGAATCAACTTCTGGGATCACGGCCAACCCTGTCCGCGGGCATATCAATATTTACGATGTTGATGAAAATCCTCACCAATGTCGTCTTTGGATTTCGAACGTAGTCCCATGAGCTGAAATGATATGAGCCAATTGATTTTTCAAACCCCGGAAATATCCATCCATTATGGCGCGCCGGCATCCCCGAGCAGCGAAATTCATGCAAGTCCAGCAACCAAAACAAACTCTCACGTACGCCAAAACCTAATAAATGCCTTCCTCCGTATTCCAGTCCACATAGGTTTTGAAGCCAGTATCCATGGCCATGAAAGCTCCTGGCGATGATAAATCAATGCCATGCCCGCTTGATCCTGTGGGATCACGCCGAATTCCCAGTCTACAAAACCGGGTCATTCACACTTCAACACTCACTCTTGCAATGAAAGAGCCTCTGACTTAGTTTTGAGCAACATGTACTGATATTTCACAAAATACACATTTGAGCAGTTGCTGATTCGGCGACGCGCGGCTTGACGTTCTTATACTGAAGGCCGTGTCTCCCCGAAGCATCTTCTCATAAGGTAGCAATGCTGACACGATAGCAATATACGCACGACAATTAATTGCTTTTCTATATTCAATGCGGATGATTTTGCCTCTGACGTAGACCAGGGTGTTTTAATGTAATGTACTTATGCAAGGGTTTTTCTATCGTCTGTCGATATTACTCTCCTAACGGGCGTGAAATTGTACCGTGATTATTTTATCGGCCTAATCATAAATTCAGGAATGGCGATGACAGCCGTACATGAATAGCGTACATAACGAGTCAAGCCCCAATCTGAATCAGCTTCATAGCCAGATACCTACCCCGACTAGCTCATTGTTATTTATCAATATCCATGTGTACAGTTGTTTGGAGCCTGAAATTGAGGCTCACTCCTTTCACCTGTATAATAGCTTAGCCTTTCCTCCTTCTATTTCTCTCTCTCTCTCTCTCTCTCTTGTTCTTCAACTTACCCTCAACCCATCCTGTTGTGCCCTTCCCTCTAGCAGGTATCTCCGAAGAGCCATCCGGAGTCAGACTAGAAAGATTGGGATACCCAAAGCGCTCGCGATACTTTTCATCGGAATTAAAACAACATATTTGTCCAGCATAATTGACATCCAGCAGTCCTATGAGTATCCGGAATCTTCGCACTGAGCTCTAATGAGAATACCGCAAGCTAAACCTACAAGCATCGATCGAAGTTCCTCAGGCCGAGCACCGTTCATCGGAGCCCCTCTGCCATCCGGGTCTAAAACAGCTACTGCTGCTGCCAGCTATACCATTCTGCCACTACAGCCAAGCTTCTGGTGGGGGTTGCTATCGTGATACCCCCCTGGCTATGACTTTGGTGCAGCGACCCTGAGATGGGTGGTCTACCGCTATCTGTGCCAGAATCTAAGCCTGATCCTAGGACTTAGCGGTGACCGCGAACGTCGTAGTTGCTACCCCGGCCCAAATAAACGGAGCACGGACCACTGGACCAGCGCAAGCAGCAGCACTACTTGTAACACCAATCGATCTTTGATTGCACGATGAAGAGAAGGATCCCAATTTTCTTAAAAAGCTACCAAACAGTGACCACGGTTTTGCTGAGAGCGAGGCTATGGCCGTGCATCGTCAATAAAAGCCATTTTCCGGCATTTATTCGACGTGGAGGCATGTGAAAACCAAAACACAGATCGAATAATGAGCCGCGCCTTTGTCCGGCTATGAAATCTGATTAATCCGAATTCGATCATTCTTCACAACTGCGCTCTTCATTGGTATATTAATTAGCGGTCCTGGGGATCTCGATGGTAGTCTATCCACTAGAACATCGCGATATCTTTCATCAATAACCCACTCACGAGCTCCAAGTTCCTATCTTCTCACTGAAGTATCTGCACGCAGTTACGTACATCACGAGAATCAGAAGTGATCTTTCGAATTCTCTTGTGGATACTGTTCAAGATGGTGTTCATATTTTCTAGCGGCCAGTTCCAGTCTAAGCTCATATGGGGCGGTCATGGCCGACGCCGCATCCGTAGCAAGTATCATAGGAATACACATGATTTTGATCATATAAATGGGTAATGACTAAGTATGCCCACATAGTTTGTCAATGCTCCCGACTAGAGCTTCACAACGAGCTAGGTTGGGCTACCAGTCAGCCCCGCATGCTCTCAACATTCAAAATTCTACCTCTCCAAGACTATATCTCATGTAAACTTATCCAAGACTGGTCAAGGAAATTCATACTTGGGCTTCTCAGAATTGAGTTACAATCTTCATAGTACGCCAAAGAGTTTGATCATCTGATCCTTGATTATTTAGAAGATACGCCGTTTCCATGGCGCAAATGAATGAAGTATGATTCCTTGGAGCAAACGCAGGACTTATGAATTTGCCAGAAACAGGTACTTTTCCAGGCAAGTCAGAGAAGAAGCACGGAATTTAGTCGCCAAAAAGGGGTATCGGAGATTGATTAGGTCTACTTAACGTAATGTCATGTCTCTCAGGTCTGTAGTATCCTGATCATACCGAGAGGGTGATGTCAATTCTATATTCGCATGAATGACGTTAGTCACGCAAAGATCGCGTGTGAATGTGGCCCTCGTTACTTACACCCCAAGGTGCGTAGCGGCGATATATCACAGGAGATGAATGGACGCATGGGGATTTGTTCCCAAGTAAATTGAAATTCTCGCAGACCACTATCATTCTCCCCAACACAGTCTGGAAAATACGCTCATTAGCTCGTCTTCTTCGAGAGACGTAGCTTGAAGCTACAGATATCTGGCGTGGGCACGAGACCATAGCCAAACGCCGCTCTACAACCCAGAGGTATCAATCTACCGCCTAGAGCTATGGTTTGATTCCCAATAGACTGTCCTCGATTGATCCCAGGGTAATTAAGCTCAGCAGAGGACGCGATACCGCACTGAACGCGCCGAGCCAGGTATTGTCACTTTGATCCAGGGTACAATAAGATGGCGCCCCCTGCCATTTTGAATCTACTGAATCTTGCACTGGTCGTGTGGGCAATTGCGTCTCGCAATACCGCGCACGAACCCCTGTTAGACACCACACAACTGACCAATCGTCTTGTATTTGCCCATTTCATGGTACGCCTGGGCAGTGGAAGAAGCCGCTCATCGTAGTCAACAAAATAACACTTTCACAGATAGGGATTGTCAACAACCGCCGGCAGGCTTCTGACTACGACGATGATATGCGACGGGCAAAGTCCCTGGGAATCGACGCGTTCGCCTTGAACATTGGCGTGGACACGAACACCAACCAGCAGCTAGAATTGGCCTACGAATCTGCGGGACAGCACTCGATGAAGGTCTTTCTTTCGTTCGATTTCAATTGGTGGCAAAATGACCAGGCATTTGAGATCGGCGAAGTGATCGCTCGATTCGCCACCTGGCCGGCGCAGCTGATTGTGGACAACAAGACGTTTGCATCGACGTTCGGAGGAGACGGACTGAATGTATCAGCTGCAAAGGAAGCAGCTGGGACTCCAGTTCTTTTTGTTCCCAACCTCCAGGTAGAGCTCGGTCTCGAAGCCGCCGTGGATGGTCTCTTCAACTGGATGGCCTGGCCCCACAACGGTAGGAACAAAGCACCCACGCCACACAACAATGTTTCGGTTGGAGATGGCGATCGGGCCTATGTCAATGCACTTGCCGGAAGACCCTACATAGCCCGTGAGTATGCCTTCCTGCCCACACGCCGGCCCTCACGTCCGCTGTGTTCCCGGAGCTGACGACGGAAAAGCCGTGTCCCCGTGGTTCTTTACACACTTTGGGCCCGAAGTCTCCTTCAGCAAAAACTGGGTATTCCCTGCGGACTTGCTGTGGTATGAACGATGGTCCGAGATATTGGCTCTGCAGCCGCGCTTCGTTGAAATTGTGAGCTGGAATGATTATGGCGAGTCCCACTATACGGGCCCATTGCACACTCTCCACACCGACGATGGCTCTTCGAAATGGGTCAATGACATGTAATCTGCTCTCCCTGTGATGGTGCACCGTATTCTCACGCCTCTAGGCCCCATGACGGATGGTTGGAGATGGCCAAGCCATTCATTGCTGCCTTCAAGGCAGGTGCACCTTCTCCGGATAATTACATCACCTCTGACCAGCTGATCTACTGGTATCGCCCGGCGCCGCGCGGTCAGGATTGCGACTCCACAGACACATGTATGGGTCCAGCGAACAACAGTAGCGGGGACTACTTCCTTGGTCGACCAGATGGCTGGAGATCTGTGCAGGATTCTGTATTCGTGGTCTCATTGTTGCGTAGCCCAGCCACGATCCAGATCAAGTCGGGTGGCAGGCTCCACCGGTATGATGCGCCTGCAGGGGCGTTTCCACAAGAAATGCGAATGGTTCCTGGAGAGCAATCCTTTTTAGTTTCCCGCGGTGGAAAGATCATTCTTTCCGGGGCAAGTTCAAAATCAGTCCTCGAGAATTGCATTTGTGGTCTATACAACTTCAACGCTTACGGTAACATCTTGACCCCTCAATCTCTGATCACGAGCTCTGACATCCAGTTCTAATCCTTGTTGTGCAGTCGGGATGCTTCCCCCATTGATTTCAGACGCGCTGCCGGCGGACGGATTGGCTTCTTTTTCCGCCGGATTGAAAGTGCAAACCTGCACGCCAACGCCTTCTCTCATGGACCGAAAGCCGATGACTAGCACGGACGTTGATCCATCAGTATCGCCAGATCTCGGCCAAGAATCTCCCACATCTGCTGGATAACCATGTTCATTGTATGCATTTTCAGTCCGAGGCGGCGCGCGGGCCAATGGGCACGATAAAAGACGAAGAAGACAGAAGTGCTGTCATGGCATTGCAAGTGCGATCAAAATTACTCAAAGAACGCGCTAATCCAGTTCTTTCGTCCAAGCAGATCTTTCGTTGAAGGGATACATCTCTCGTGCTTTCGGATTAGGGTTAGGAAGAATCTTTCTTGGAAGTCTCTTATAATTAATCAAATACCACAATTATCATCTTGCTCATAGACCATGCTTCTACCTGCTTGGATCGATTCCAAAAGCTGTATATCTCGTCACTTGTCGGGCAAATGGAGAACTTCGGAATGTGCCTAATCTACATACATAAAATTCCTGTGACTGAACAATCTTTCACATACCCTAGGAATTAGGATCAATGAGCCACTTTCGTCCCGAATATATGTCGGATAGAATTTAATCTGAAGTCAACTTCTTTTCATCCAGAGGAAAACCATCTCAAGCCTTGCCACTAGTCTAAATGCGTATCGAGCTATAGTGCCTTGAGATTTGATATGGAGCTGGAGCGAAATTACTCAAGGTCCAATTGGATAAAATCACGTCTACCTTCCCCCTCCCCCCTTGTAGATTAAATTATGCAACATCATGTCGTTTAAATCTGTTCTGAAAGCAGCAGTGAATCCAAAAAAACAGGTTCCAATAGGCCAGGAAGTAGAATTGAGGAATGTCAACAGAAAGCCCAACAGCCGAGAAATTGTTGATTGAAAAGAAAACCGGCGGAAAGATCCATGCTATATCCTCAAGCTCGGATTCTAGTCTTGTACTTATGCAATTTGGTGTGCAAAGAATGTACATCTTCGTTTCTGATCACTGTTCGTTCTACTCTCTTCATAAATCGCTTTCTGTTGACACCCTTGCATGTGTTGCGTTGGAAGACTAGTACATCTTCTATCTGGAAATAGTCGGAGATACGGATGGCTCCGGGTTTCTTAGGGTCGAGTTCCACGATTTGCAAATGCCGGTTGAGGAAGTAGCCGTACTGGAGGCGTGTACAGAAGTAGTCTTCAAAGAAGGACTTGATTGTGCTTCGCGCTCGGCGATGGACCTTTAGCACATGCAGACCGCTAAACTCCATGATCAGAACAGGGCCCTTGGCTCGTGGGGCTCTTGCGGCAAACCCTAGCCCATAGGGGGAATCCAAGCCCAAACAGAGTCGCTTGTTTGGGGCTTGTCGAGGCTCGGGGATGGCAGTTTCAAATCCTCGAGACTGAACGTCGAGCTCAGTGTGGGCGTTGGCGCCGCGGGTCGAGCTTACTGTTTGGATCTGACTCGGACCCATCATCCCCAGGCGGATAGCTCTCTCTTTCTCTGGGCTTTTTCTTGAACCCGAAAATGCCTGGGCAGCTCTCAGACCCTCGTTATTGCTGGAGGAAAGGGATGGGTTGTCTGTGCTAAGACTTCGCTTCCTCGGTCTCATATTTGACTGGGTTTCCAGATTGGAAGGGTAAGGGATATTATTGATATCCCATTTCTTTACGTCAGGTGTGCTTAATTGGCAACGGGGTGTTTGCAAAGGCTCTATTGCAGGAATCTCAGCCGGGTTGATGGGATGCGAAAAAGCCATGCTGACAGGCTCAGACGGTGATGCGTTCGTTTGCAAAGCTCCCCTCTTCAATAGATGGGGGACTGGATCCTGTAGAGTTGGATTTAGTTCCTCCACGAGCCGATCTGGCTGCGCAGTTTGAAGTGGACCCTGGGTAAAGAAGCTTCGTGCCGGGAAAGAGGCTGGGTCAGTCCGCACTGAGTTTCTGGTTGCTGAGGCTTGTGAAAAGTCAGCGGTTCGTTCGGCACTCGTGATGCCTTGATTTCGTGCTTCGTTGGATAAGCTTGGAGAATGTGCCAAGGCTGGCCGGTGTTCCGTGAACACCCTATGCGAAAGGGGCGTTGATGAGCTTATGACCGGGGCAGCGCTCGCACGCTGCACTGGGGTCTCCGCATGATTCAACCCGAAAGCAGTCATATCACCAGTCGCATTGAAGGAAGGTAAAGCTACACACCCTTTGCGGTTTTCACCGAGAGAGGGCAGCGCGGCATTCGGTCTGTGCTCGGTCTTCCTTGGATCACTTGTGTAATGACTGGTTCTGGGGTCGGATGGAGGATGGGCGTTTCGCGTAGGACCAACAGGCCTCTGATTGTGATCACGTTCGGTGATAGTAGGGTCAGAGCCACTGCCGCATGCTTGAGGAGATTTGAATGGCACATGAGTGGGGTTTGCCATGTGCGAGGGCTGACGCGACTCCGGTGGACCCCGGTCTTGCTGCGGAAGCGGCACGGACCGCATGTGCTCAGCCTCGTCTGCTATTGAGTCCTGCAGAAATCTCAATGAGTCTTGGATCGCATCCCTCGATCTCGGTCCGTCGACTTGTCTATCGTACAATTCCATGGGAAACGGCCGCCGCCGAAGTACACTCCACCTAGATGTTGCGTCTAGTCGGTCTTGCACAGGGGATTCTACACGAGCGCATTTGACGATCTGATTTCCTCTTTCAAGCCCCTCCGGGCCTCTCTTTCGATTTGGAACTCGTCGAAGATCTGTATGTGGCTCTTTAGTGGCCAGTCTCGGCACATGGGATCCCCTGGCTGCAGCGACCCTGGCACGACTAATACTCTCTCCGTCGCTCGCAGAAGTTTGTAAGCTACTGCCTCGTGTTTCCCGGGGCGGGATTTCTGCAATTGGAGCGGGATTTGCAGACTCAATGGGACGCTTACAAGCTCTCTCTAGAGGACGTAGTGTGGGCAGATGGATGGCAGGACTCTCCGCGCTGAAGCCCTTCCTCCCTCCATGGGTATCATCTGTATCTTCCACAGATGGGGGTTGCCAGTTCGAATTTTCTGCAGCTCCATTCCTACTTGCAGAGAATTGGCTTTGTGATGCGTTGTGTTGACAGAACGGGACTCTGTGCTCCTGGACAGAACGGCCGTGTGGATAACCTGGGGGTGTGTGCAAACGGGGGCTCTCACACTGGGTCGCTTTGGACAGATCATGATTCTTGATTTGGCGCCCGCTGGCTGGTAAAGCGTCCATCCGGTCCGAGTATGAGCTTATTGACACTCCCCCTATACCAAGTGAACTCCGCGGAGGGCTGTGATTTGGCAATTCGGTCTGCTCGTGTTCCTTTAACATTGCCTGATCTTCCGTTGGGTTGTCTGGTTCCAATTCCGTCGCATATTCTGGCACTAATGTCACATTCCCCTGGGACGATTCGAGAGCACCAAGGTCCGTCTCCAAGTCTCCATGTGAGCTCTTGGGGATATTACCGCACAGAGAACCAGAATTGTTCGAATGATCATCTTCTTAGCGGGTAGCAACGTAAGCTTTCTACCGCGGGTTATCTGGGAAGCAAGGATGACTTACCTTGGCTTCTGCTTTGGAATGGTTCGTCGCTCAATTCGATGACAGGGCTGTCTTGCGCTGTATCCTGTCCTGTGGGGGGTTCTGCAGCATTTGATGCCCCACTGCCCGGCTCGCTCCCTTCATCGCTGAAGCTTGATGCATCAAACATTCTCATACAATCATCATAGTGTTGGATGTCCCCTAGAGAAGAGCATTGGGGATCATTCAAGTAGCTGTCAAAGTTACCAGAATCAAGAGGATGAGGGTTTATGTTCTCAGCAGGCCCAGCACACACCGCAGGTGGTACCGCTTCCAGTTCTGGCCTTGAGAGAATATGCCTTCGAGTGAGAGGGGATGCTTGCTGGCCTGTCTCCCTATCAGTAGATTTATGCGACACAGATGGAACCTGCATGCAAGGGCCGCGCAGCCTGGAACCGTCCCGCCCCGAGAGTTTCGTCTCCCCGTTGGTAAATTCAATTTCCGCTAGGTGCTTTGGAGAACTAGCCATGTTTTCATCTGATATCTTTTGACTATCCACAAATGCAGGCTCTAGACGGTGACTTGGAAGAGAAAATGGCCCTGGACGATCATCTCCAGCAGCGTGCACATTGGAGTCACCCCAATCTACACGTTGCGGGTCCGTGATGCTCTGGCACGGCTTAGTAGTTTGATTGGATGGCTCTTGGGAAAAGCAGAGATCCAGAAAACCTGGATTATCAATGAGAAGATTGGTCTGATTAGAAGGTCTCGTCTGGGTTGGAAGAGACGTCTTCACATGTCTTCTTTGGTCCTCCGTCCACCGTATATAGCGATCACTATTCAAAAGTGAAGGATTCGTTACTGCTGTACTCCGTATCGCAGACGCGGCTCCGCCAGACAAGTTTGATACAGCACTTCTAGAGACCAGCTGGATTGGATGACGGGCATTTATTCCATGATGTCTCATCTCCGGAGCAGCAACTGTAGATGGGGAAGGCGTTTCCTGAGGGACAACCCGACTTCCTACACCGGGGCCAGTAGGACTGGATGGATCAAAAGATTGGTACCCTATTGAATGGTTCAGGTGATTTTGATTTTCTGAGACCCATCCGTCGCTAGGCGTATGATTGACGTATGACAGAAAAGCTCGCACACTCGATTGGAGGAGTTTATACGTGCTCAACAACAGTCCTAAAGCTTGACTTTCATGGGGTTCAGGCTGATGAGCGCCTCTTTGGGCTAACAGAGATGAACTTGGTAAGCTTAGATCTGTCGATATTGTCATATCTTGGTACCCTGAAGGGCAACTGTTTGTTTGATCAGCTCCGCAGTCCCCCGAGGAATCGAGAAAGCTTCCTGTCTCGGATGGAATCCGTCCTCCCTGGGGTTCCTCGCATTTTCGAAGCAAAGGGCGATCGTCCTGAGGAAC